TTAAATAGAATTTATTAATAAAGAATTTTTCAACTAATTTAGCACTATTGTTGGATATGTATGGAATTAATGGATACATCACTCGGTAATCTGTATAAATTTGCTTATCGTAAACTTGATCAGTTTATACTTGGAGATATTCTTGCCTATATAGCACTAGTTTCAACAACAACAATAAAAATTTTTAATTCTGCAATGACTAATCAAATATTTGATTTAACAAGTGCTCGTAGCTATGGTTTGGATTCCCGTGTGTATTTATCAGTAAAAAATAATTTTAGTATTCTTTTAGCTAATTCTACGTGTATTTTAACCTGAATGTATTGGTCTAATAACAGCAACTGGTGATGATTATGATGAGCAACATGATTTTTGGTCACTTGGAATAACACTTGTAAATCCTTTTAAACAAAAACCAAAGAAATAAAACTCTTTATTTATTTTTCAGTATGAATTATCTAGAGGGTATTATCTATTTTGAGAAGGAGCATCTCTGTTTGATCGAATGGAACAAATTCTTAAAGGATCTCCGTTAGAACTGACATTTAATCGACTTTCTCATCATTGCAAAAACTTTGTAAATGCATGGTAAAATAGTACTGGATTATTCGATTTATTTTGTTTGAAGTTTTTTTCTAATTTAAAATAAAGATCAAAATCAAAAACCAAATTATAAAGAATTATTAGAAAATCCATTTTTACGGCAAGAAAAAGAACCACAACAAACGGAATATATTGTTGCTTATTTATCTGATATAATTGATGGTCTTCAACTGAATATGGATAAATCTTAGAGATATTATTATAATCTTTCTTCAACTTTTCGATGAATATACTTTGTTTTTAATTTTTATTTGCATTTGAAATAGCCATAAGGTACTATGACCTCAATTAATTTTATTCAAGAAATATTATTGTACTAAAATGTTGATTAGCAGATGTTGGATAGTATTAATTAGAAAAATGCCTGAACAGAATTTTTATTGTTAATAACATTTTTTTAATACTCTTTCAATGAATGATTAACTCTTCTTTCGATCGAATGTTTTCTTCTTTGAAATTTATTGCACTGATTATAGTGATCAGTATTCACTTTTTCAATTTTATAATGCTTTCTCGATTAAATTCGTTGCTTCTTTTTCGAGCTTCCTATTGTTTTCATTTTCAATGTATTTTATATACATATAGCAAAATAAATATAAATGTCAAATAAAAGATTATGTTAGAATGTACACTAAAATACTACGTTATAAAATCAATAGTCAGAGTAAGTATTTTTCAACAGAATCGAAAATTGCTTGTGCATCCTTTTGTCATATTGTAAAGAAAGAGAATAGCATATTTTCCTTTCAACTATGATTTCATGTGTCAGATCCTCGTCCGCTCTTTTTTCATAGCTATCATCGTAATAACAACCGATATGAGTCACAAAATCAGTTTTCTCAGTACTCTTATTTCATTTAAAAAGCTGTGATAGAATTCATTGTTTCAGTATTTGTGCCAGACAAAAGTAAGACAATTATCGCTTCACATGAGTTTTCATTTTCATTAACATTTGAAGCAATGAGTGAAAGAATTCGAACTATAAATAATACTCTATTTTAACTGACACATAATAATCAATAGCATGGATGATAAAAATGAAACATTACTTGAAGAAATAAAAGCAAGAGAACAGATGAAAC